CAACCTCCAACTCCTGGGCTCAAGCGAGTCTCCTGCCTCCGCCTCCCAAGTAGCTGGGACTACAGGCGCCCACCACATCGCCCGGCTATTTTTTGGTTGCAGCCGTCATTGTTGTTTGGCGGGTCCGGGCTGGGGATTCGAACCCGCCACCTTATGTGTATGTGGCTGGCGCCTTAGCTGGTTGAGCCACAGGCGCCGAGCCAAGACTCAGTATCTTTATTTATTTTTTTGAGACAGAGTCTTACTATGTCACCCTTGGTAGAGTGCAATGGCATCACAGCTCACAGCAACCTCAAACTCCTGGACTTAAGCGATTCTCTTGCCTCAGCTTTCCAAGTAGCTGGGACTACAGGCACCTACCATACCACCTGGCAATTTTAGTTGTTGTAGTTGTCATTGCTGTTTGGCAGGCCCGGGCTGGGTTCAAACCCACCAGCTCTGGTGTATGTGGCTGGCGCCCTAGCTGCTGAGCTACAGACGCCAAGCCCAGTATCTTTATCTTAAAAAACAATATTCTGTGAAATAAGAGACTTCGTTTCTCTTTTAAACATACAATAAGACAGATACTCATGAATTCAATTTTGTTAGAAGAATGAACTTACAGAACTGGCAAGTTTAGGTTCTGAAATGTCTGACCTGGATTTTGTTTTATTTTGACAAAATTTGTCATTAGCACAATCATTCAGTAATTTGATAATAACACCTCAATAAAAATTTACTAACAACTTACTAAACAGAATACATATATACCCTACTCACCTGTGGACTTTATTGAAAAGGAAATGAGAATTTACCAAAAAGACTTAGAGAAGATCAAATTTTCATCTTATTAAAAAATACTGTTTCTCTCAAAAAAAGAATATATAAAAGGGCCAGGCGCGGTGGATTGCCTAAGCTCACGGGTTGGAAACCAGCCTGAGCCAAAGCAAGACCTTGTCTCCAATAACAGCCAGGCATTGCGGTGGACGCCTATACTCCCAGCTACTTGAGAGGCTGAGGCAATAGAATTGCTTCAGCCCAAGAGCGAGGTTGCTGTGAGCTATGATGCCAAGGCACTCTACTAAGGGCAACAAAATAAGACTCTGTCTCAAAAAAAAAAAAAAAAACTGTTTCTAACATATAGAATGGTTTAGTAAAGACCAAGGATTAGACGACAGAAAGTTCAGTAAGACTAACTCAGAAACTCAGGCAAGCATCTGTGGTGCCTTCAGCTCTCTGATGAGTCTCAATTTTAAAAAAAAAAAAAAAAAAGGAAACACAGAGGGTGGCGCCTGTGGCTCAGTGAGTAGAGCTCCAGCCCTATATACCAAGGGTGGCAGGTTCAAACTCAGCCCCAGACAAACTGCAACAAAAAACAGCCAGGTGTTGTAGAGGGCGCCTGTAGTCTCAGCTACTTGGGAGGCTGAAGCAAGAGAATCGCCTGAGCCCAAGAGCTGGATGTTGCTGTGAGCTGTAACGTCACAGCACTCGACCTAGGGCAACAAAGTGAGACTCT